TCATTTTGAATATATTACCCACTTATACACACACTTTAAGAATTTAGAGCGTCTCAAAGCTAAAAGAAAACTTAAAATTGTGATGATCATATGTAAAAAACCAATATTAGTCGCACGTAAAATGTTTATTTAAATGGTACTTCCAACTTCCAAGCGTAACAATTATAAACAGTCCTCTTTTATGGAAGCAGCAAAACCCATGGTGAATGAAAAATCGCAAGACTACCTCAATGCACTTGACTACTTCACACCTATATATATATATATATATATATAATTATTTTAACGACAAGTACTTTGAATATTCCATAAATTCTTCCAAATATGCATACAAATATACATGTATATATAAATCATTGAACAGTAAGCAATAATAATAAGTAACAGAAAATACAGTTTCAAGTATGAAGTATATAGAGTAGGTTGGAGCCTCAAATAAGAAATAATTCACCATGATATATGCAAGGAAACTTTTTAAGCTTTCTAGAAGATGCAAGAAAAAGAAGTAGCACCACAAATGGCAAGAAACCATGCAAGAAATGGAAGGCCTAAAGTAGAAGCAGAAATGGCATTAACAGCTTCAAGAATCTCATTCTCTTGTTTGGTCAAGCTGCACTATACTACAAATGACAAAGCTGGAATAAACCCCTCCACACCACTTAAAGTGCATGTCATGATCAAAGTAATTTTCTTAGTGGTTCAGAAATTGACTCCAAGATTCATCTAACTATAACAGTTGTATATATTTCACTTTACCAGCCACTATTCTCAAATCTAAAACTAGTAAAGAAAAAAAAAGGATATATATATATATATATACCAAAAATCCAACATGCACTACAACAAAATAGAGATTTAGCCACAATTTAGTGGCGTTGCTAAAGACCGAATTTCTCAAAAATAAAGGATCCAAACCAATGAAATCATATTTCATCCATAAAAACTTACACTTAAACTCGGGAGCAACAGCTACATGGCAATGGTAGAAAGTAGAAACTGTAACTGCAAATGCAAAGAGTACGTAATAAATCAAAAGGGGAAAACATGTAATGTTAATATGGCCACATTACATCTGTCATCTGAGAGTAAGAACTGACACCTCGTTCATTTCACCGATTCGAGTTTTCAATTCTAAATTTCTACATTTAAGAGCTCTCAGAAAATGTCTCATCTAATTTTTTCTGCTACAATTAAAAACTCGCAAAAAATGGCACATTTCAGTTCGAATTTAAAACTCGAATCCACAAAGCGAATTGAGGCCTCATCATCTTCACACAACTCCTGTACACATGATATATATACACAATGGGTTTTCACCCAAATCAGTTTATATGCATATTGAAGACTAAGTTTTTTCATACCCTAAACATTCACTTAGCAAGAAAATTAAATGTGTTGTGATTCTAACATGCACCTATATACATATTTAACTCAACTTCAGATGGAAGGAATGATTAGAAATTTAGTGGGTGCCAACATAGTTAGGATGTGCTAACTTTCTTCTACTTTGTATCTCATCCTTTATTTCAAAGAGAAAAAAAAAAAAGAGAACTCGACTTGGGTTTTCTTTCTCACCTACTTCCAATAGTAATATACATGCAAATCAACTGGATTTTATACGCTAATTAACTAAACACATGTGATGAGTTCTATAAAAGAAAACAACATAGAAGGTAAGACTAACTCACTTCTGAATTAGTTAGCATTTAACAATCTTTACAACATAGAAACTAAGTACCATAACTAGCACAGCGATTTCTTCTCAATAATTTCCACAATATTTCCAATATTCTTTAGCTAATTTAAGATCAATGGAAGCGGCCAAAAACATAGAATCATTAGAATGTAATCGGAAAACAACCTTCCAGAACTAGTGCAACCATGACTCATGGTATTCATTTTAGTTCAAAATATTCAGAGAAATTACCTATAATATTATTTGTTTTTTAATTGGGTATTAGACAAAAAGACAGAAGCAGCTATGAGACAAGTAAGCAAATCTATATAACAGAAATGGGCCATATTATATATCCTGTCAAAATCCAACAGCACTTTTGCAGCCTAGATAGTAACAGCATATCCATTTTCAAGTAAATCATGCAAAAAAAGTAATTTGGAAGAAAGAGACATATTAGAGAGAGAAAGAGAAATATTGAAGACCCGAGCAATCAATATCCATTTTTGGCGAACTGTGTCGCAGGAAAATAAAAGATCTATATGCCCAACATGGTATTATTTATCCTTCTTCGATTCCCAAGGATCAAATCATATTTAGACACGGGTGAGGGGTGTTGACAATATGAACTACAATATAGTTTATAGAAAGGCATAGGAAAAAAGAATGGATCTCATATATATATCTATATATATCTATATCTATATATATCTATATATATATATATATATCATATAATACATCAAATCTAGGAACGTTGTGTGCAGCTAGCTAGCAAGCACACAAAGGATATATTTAAAAGCGACTGATGTTAATGCAATTCACATGATGATATCCAACTGAGTAATAAAATATTTGCAGAAAATATTTAAGGGGGACAGCATGTGAAGAAAAAGGAAAATTTAAAAGCAAGCATTGAATTAAGACACCCCCTCTATAATTAATCAGAATTAGTCAACATTTGTACGCAAGGGTATTGCCAAAAGGGCAAGTCATTCATGTCTTGAGCATCTCAACAAATAAAGTATTAATTGGAGCCAAAACAAGCAGTGTACACCCTCGACAGCAACTATCCTGCCAAGCACAAATGATTTAAATACAAGAGCCAGGATTGTAAATTAACGATATTAATTGATAATAAATAAACAAACATCTGTCATTAATTAAAGACACTGCGAATGTCTCATACATTGTATGTATATCAAGTTCAGCAATAAATTATGCATGCAATGAGGGAAAGTAAATAAACAGATAAACGGATCACCATTAAGTATAATGTAAAGAGTATTCCAAGGCAATGTGGAATTCACAAGAAAAAACTAATCAAAGATGCATAATAGGAAAAAACATATATATATATATATATAATATGAATATATACATACATTGGAAAACCTGTAGAGGTAGTAAGATATGCAAAATTGGGCGGGAAATTGTTCACTTACAAGAAGAAAGTGTATACATTTATATACACATATATATAGATATATGATTTGATCATGAACGCATGCAATCACAAGAGTCGTCAACATATAATTGCAGAAACGCCACACTATTTAAGTGGGCCAAAGAGGGACATCAATGAATGACATTCTATATATATTTCTTACTTGGTAACAAATGATGGCGACATCACAACCACTTCCCATGCTAAAGTCTAAAGAAGCACTATGATTGTCAAGTTTTCATTTGCTTAAAAGCTGAGGATGAACAAAAACCAATCAAATCAAACAGGAAAAACATGTGGCACCAAACCGCAATATCAGGCTCTCAGGCCCCATCCCTTGACAAAAAATATTTTATATATATGAATGTGTATACATGTATAAGAAAGAAACAATAGAAACTAACTGAACAAAGAAAAAACCAGTTCAGAAAAGTAAATTCCAAATGCAGTAATAACTTGGGAGAAAATCAACGTCTAAATCACGAGTAAACAGCGCGTACAAGAGCAAGACAAAGTTGCAGCACCAAAAACATAACATTATATATATATATATTTAAAATATCACTCAATGCTAAACTACTTGTGATGGAAAAAAAAATACTTTACACTGTAGATTTCACCTTTGTAAAGCAAAAACTCTTGTTTGAGGAAAAGAAACCGGGAAAGTGCAGCAACTACAGTAAAACAAATAGGTGTAACGATCTCTTTTATTTTTATTTTTTTTGGAAATAAAAAATAAGTATCTAAAAGAACAGGATCTCGTCTCCAACAATTATTTGTTTTTCGGTCAAGAAACTTCTTCAACAGTGATCAGAAACTGCAATGGTGACAATCCCCAGTTTGAAAAGTACAAACAATATGAGTAAGATCTAGAAATTGAGAGAAACGAAAAAAAAAATTAAAGCAAAACCCGTCATAGCTGAACAAAGAAACATATGTTAATGAAATGCAAGTCTAAATATGATCAACATAAAAATCATTAGTAAGTAGGCAAAAGATGAAAAAAAGAAAGAAAAAGGATTACACTACAATGTTATTTCTTCCTTAATTCCCCAAACAGTGATCCTTCCATGTTGATATACCCTTTGGAAGAACACATATATTAAAAATATATAGTCTCCATCATCAATTTATTTGATTACCATAACCTGAGCCTCCGAGTAAGCCTCCGCCAGTGGAGGCGGCATAGACATCGGAGGGATCGAGTAACGGCGACGACGAGGACGCCCCATTTCTTCCCCCGCCACCACCGCCTAAATGCAATTCCGAAATATTTGGAAACCCTTCTTTAGGTTCAACTCCTTGATCATATAGAAAACCTTTGAAAACATGCCCTCCGATCTTCACCACCGCCTGGTAAGCGTACTCGTCCTCCCCGTCCTCCACCGCTGTCACCCGCACGCACTTGAACACCGCCGGTGCACGTACTTGCCCCGGCAACGAGTCCTTGTACCCCACATCTGCATACATACAATACAAAATTCACACACAAAAAACCCTACTCTCCCAAAAACAAAAAAAAAATACCATACATACAATACAAAATTCACACACAAAAAACCCTACTCTCCCAAAAAATAAAAAATAAAAATAATATGAAGTTGCGAGAATTAGAACAAATAATCTATAGTATGAGATGATCTAAAACCTTGGTGACTAGAGCTGGTGTCGAAGCTTCTAGGAGGAGTGGTATTTGAAGTTGAGGTGTGAGAAGTTGTTGTCGTTTGAGAAGCGAAGAGTCTAGGTTTCTTTGCGCCGGAGGTCGATCCGGACGACCCGGGCCCAACGGCTGCACCAGCCACATTCATGAGCTGGCGTTCACGGCGGCGAGCTGCTGGGACCCACGTGCTCTTCACGTGGGTTGCACACTCGAAACCCCGGCTCTTGCAACAAGTCCTGCACCGCCTATGGGTACAATCCTTCTTCGCCTGGTTCCCGCAGTCCTGGCAAGTTGCTGTGGAGCTCGAACCTGAACCGATAACACCTCCGCCGCCACCGCTTTGAACCAAATTGGGGTTTATTCCCTGATCGAGAATGTTAATCCCGGGCTTCTTGAAGAAATGTTGCTGATTCTGCTGATTCTGCCACAATTGAATACCTCCTCCTACTCCACCAGCTACACCACTTCCTCCTCCTCCCCCGCTTCGGCCTCGAGAAGCGGTGGAGCCGCCAAGCGCATTGGCGGAATCGTCGTCGACGGGGCCGAGGCAAGGAGTGGCGGTCAGTAGGGGAATTACGCCGACGCCGACGCCGACTCCAAGCGCGGTGGCGGGGTTGGAGCCGTTGAGGGAGTGGTGGTCGGCGATGAGGTAGGGGTCGGCGTGGTGGTGGTGGTGGTGGTGGTGGTTTGGGTGGTGAAAGGAGGAGGCCGGGGCGACGACGAAGACGTCGCGGAGGCCCACCATGCCCATCTCGGGAGGGAGGCCGTAGTTGATGGGCCGGGAAGAGCCGGCCCACAAGGCGGAGGAGGAGGATGAGGCGGGCCCTCCGCCTCCTCCCGTAGGCCCAGCATTGAAGCCAAGGGAGAGCTCGTCGGGGACCGAGGCTCCTCGACCTGCTGCTGCTGCTGCTGCGGCTGCGGCGGCGGCGGCGGCTGAGGAGGACGATGCCACCCAGTCTGCGAAAGCGCCGGAGTCCGAGGGCAGCCTCCTTGTAGTAGCCACAACTGATGATCCTGATAAACAAACCCCAATCACTCTCAATTCCCAATCTAAATATATATATATAACGTGTTTGTATGTATATATAGATAGGTGGATAGATATAGAGAGAGAAAGAGGGAAACTTTGAGGTGGTAGGGAACTAAATCATGGATGTATCTCTATGTGGGTGTTATATGTGAAGTAAGGAAGGTGTGGGTGGGGTCTCTGAAATTGCATCAGAGAGATTGTTCGAGAAAGAAAGAAAGAAAGAGAGAGAGAGAGACAGGGAACAAATAATTTTTCTCTTTTTTTTTTTGGTTTTTTAGAATTAGGGATTATAGAGAGAGGAGGAGTAAATTTGTTGGGTGGCTTTCTTTCTATATTTTGTGTGTGTGTGTTTGAGAGAGAGAGACAGAGAGAGAGAGAGAGTAGAACTGCTGTTGCTGGCTTTCTGTTGTTGTTGCTGCTGCTACTACCACTGCCACTTTGGATTTTATGACCAAAAAAGTTTGTTTATGAAACACCTTCCTTCCTTGAGGGGCCGGAGGAGGCAGAAAGAAAAGAAAGAGCAGCAGCAGTAGCAGCACAACTAAATACCCACCACAGCCAACACTCAGAATTCAGATCATATGATGTATAATAACTAGTAATAGAAAAGATAATAAAAAGAAATTTTTTTTCTTAAAAAACAAAAAAAAAAATTATATATGCAATAACGACCTCTCTTTTGTGTGTTTTTCCTCTGCTAGCTACTAGCTGTTTGTGTTTTTTTCTTCTTTTTTTAATTTATGAGGGAAGACCTTTTTTCACTCCCCCTATCATCATCATCATCATCACCACCACCATCATCATCAACATCTTCTTCTACTTTCCTCTTCCTCTTCTTTGGAGCTTTTTTTTTTTTTTTTTTAATCTCCTTATAACAAGAACAACTCTCTCTCTCTCTCTCTCTAAAAACCCTTTCTTCCTAGCTAGCTCGGCAATATGTTTCCTAGAAAGCGAAACTGAGGTGGGTTCCTCTCTACCCCTCACTCACTCTCTCTCCCTCACTCACTCTCTCTCTCCAATAATCACACAAGCAAAGCAATAGAAGAAGGGAGGAGAGTATAAAGACTTTTGTTCCCTAGTTTTTTGGTCTTACGCGGGCTCTCTAAAGTCACATGACTCCTCTCAGTCTCGTCGTCAATCTTCATATATATCTCCATATTTATTTGATTTTTTTTTTAATTCATTCATTCCTGGCGCGTGTTACTCTGTCCCTACTAGAGTGCGTGGGTGTATTAGGCATTGTGTGATCCCAAGCCAAAATGGGCGATGGGCAATGGCGCGTTGAAAGAAGGGAGCTTTGGCCTTTGGGATGGAGCGTGTAACACACGCGCTCCAAGCGCCACACAGTTTCTATTGATTTTTTTTTATAATATATTTTTTTTCATTAATTAAACGTGGAGTCCAAGTAGGAGTCGGTCTACAGTCCCAAATCTAAATGTTTTGTCGTTTTGGATTGAGTTTGTCAGAATAAGCAAAATGGGATGAAAGACTGTCAGGCTCTGTTTTTGTAAGCTTATATGATCACATAATGCACTTTGGCTACGCATCATTGTCTAAGATTTGCAATTTTTTTATGTGATCCGCCGCTTAGATTTGGATCCATCGAGTGCTTTTTACTCTCTCCATTTATTTTTCTTAGAATCCCTACCTTTTATCAATTTGAGTTTAAAATTTAAATTTTATTATAATAAAAAAATTTTAAAAACAGTTATATTTAATTTTTTTATTATATTAAAAAATTCTTACATAAAGTCACGTCTCAACTTGAATCAGCGAACTAAACAAGTCTTTAATATACACGAAAGAAACCTTACTAATAAGTTACAATTTTATTTAGTACTTGTTCAGTTTGTTGATTCTAATTTTTAATTTGAACTGGGATGTGATTTTTTATGTTAGTTTTTTACTACAGCAGAAAAAATTAAATGTGATTTTTTATAAAAACTTTTTAAGTGTAACAAAATTAAATTTAAAAAATCGAATCGATAAAATGAACAAAATTAAAATTTTATTATACTGTTCTTTAACAATTTTGTTAAATTGTTATATCTATGGTCTCGTTTATTAAATTATAATCTCATATAATTTTAGTTTTATTTAACGCGACTTTACTGTGCATATTAATGCACCGGTGGAGCGTTTTTTAAGAGTCAATCTATTGGTGGAAGATGAAGGATCATTATTGATATAGTGCTTTTGTTTGCAATGAAGCATTCCTTGAACTCAAAATAATTTAATTTTTTTAAATTTTAAGATAACAAAGGAAAAAAAGAAGATCTGTGCCCAGAAAAACAAAATAAAAAAAATAAAAAATAAAAAGAGAAAATCGGCTAACATGAAGTTAACGGTCGGAGAACCCGCGCCGATCCGGTGTGAAACTCTCAGAAGCTGTAATTAGGAAGATTGATTTTGTAGTAACGATGTTTATCCGGCGTTACAACGATTTCTTGAAAATAAAAAGTAACTTTTATAATTTCATGGAATTCAAAAGGAGAAAAAAGAAAAGAAAAAGTTTATGGTTCTCTCAGTTGTAATTTTAATCTTGAATCTTGAAAATTAATTAAAAAATCAATATCCGTATCAATTACGTGTTGCAGCAAAATTTGAACATTGACAAACTTTCATGTGGGTTTTATGGACTTGAGCCAAGAACAAGTACCAAAAGTTTGTTTTATTTGGGCATTCTAAGCTAATTAATCATAGTGGGTAAAATTTTACGTGGAATAATAATTTTCTCTTTTGTCGAACACGAAAGTGGAATAATAATGTTAAAAGTTCAATATAATATTTGGAAAAGAGAAATTAAAAAATATATAATCTCATATAATCATCTAGACAAATGTGTATTTCCAGCCAAAAAAAAAAAGAAGAAAAATCACTGCCCCCATTCATGATGCGAATGACATGGCGGATATATATATATATA